TCGGTGGATTGAGGAACGGGACGCTCAGATCCATGGACATACACAAACCCTCCGTGAGTTACAGCAGAATCAAACATTCGCTAGCCACTTGGATAATGCTAACGCCACGTCAGCGGCACGTCCTGCTTCGAATCCACTTCCGCTTCATAGGTCACCGGCAGAGACGTCACTTCCTAGTCAAGATAATAATCTACCTTTCTGGTCAGAACCCAGCCCGTCGCTTTCTGTATTCAGCCCTGCTCTACCTGAGAGATTTTCCAGCAACCCAAGTAAGTTGAGGAAATTTCTGTTCCAGTGTCAGTTATTTTTCAAGTTTTATGAGTCAAGTTTTCTTTATGATAGGAGAAGGATAGTTTTTGTCATGTCTTTCCTGTCCGGAGAAGCCCTTGAATGGGCGGAGACCAGATTCCCATTAAAGATTAGAGAAAATTGCACTTATGAAAAATTCATCCAGGATTTTGAAAGGACTTTTAACCAAGTCCCAAATAGGTCCTTCGTTTCTAGTGGACTATTCGAAATGAAACAGGGAAATAGATCCGTTGCCGAGTTTTCTGTAGATTTCCGGGTTAAAGCAGCCGTTTCCGGGTGGAACGAGTCGGCACTCAAGACCGCTTATCTCCAAGCACTTAATAAACCTGTCCGAAACGAGCTAACTTTTTATGATGAGCCAGCTAACTTGGAGGACCTCATAGAGCTAGCTATTGGGCTAGATATTGAATTGCAAACTAGACCCAGAGCCGTCCACCCTCAGTCTCAGGATTCCAGTTCCCTTCTACACCAGGTCAGTCTCAGCTCTAATTTACTCGATCGTCATTTAGCTCCGTCTGTTAAAGGACTCAAAATAGGTCCCCTGCCTGATTACCTAGCCCCTGAACCAGAAATCCGTTCTGGAACTCTAATTTTTCGACCTGATAACTTGTTGCCAGAATCAGTCTTCAAACCGGTTAGCTTAGCTCCAAAGACCCCTCGGCGTAAGAAACGGCGTCGCCTTAAATCAGCTCTGTGCCGTCTAGAGACCCCTGAGCCTGCTCTGTGCCATCTAGAAACCCCTGAGCCTGCCCTGTGCCGTCCAGAGACCCCTGAGCCTGCCCTGTGCCGTCCAGAGACCCCGGAGCTTAAACCTAAGAGGGCTTCAGAATTTGGTGTTGGTGAAAATGTGCCTCCAAGAGCCTCTCAGCAGGGGCCACAAACCGCCAAGAGCCCTCTACAGACGCTTCAAGCCACCTCAGAGACTGAAAATGTGCATCCATGGGTGGTTTCCCCTGTTCCTGAGGTGGAACCACAGTCGGTGGTTTCTCCAGTTCCTGAGGTGGAACCACAGTCGGTGGTTTCTCCAGTTCCTGAGGTGGAACCACAGTCGGTGGTCCTTCCAGTTCCTGAGGTGGAACCACAGTCGGTGGTCCTTCCAGTTCCTGAGGTGGAACCAC